AGTTCTAATAAAGATTCATGATCAATTCTGATGTAGCAGTCATTTAACCAGTAGGAATGCAAATAATTTTCAAATGTATTGTTTATAACAATTATAAACAATTGCATTGCTAGATAAAGATCTACATGTTTTTGACATTATTTATAGCAATATTTAACAAAATTGAAAACTATTGCAGAGCTCTTGAAGAACAATTTTAAATTTATAAATAATTATTAAACTGGCAAGATTGCCAAAAAATAAAATTTTACTATTGCCTAAAAAATAATATTCTACTATGCCTGTGCTTTCAAATATTGATCTTTTTAATTACATGATAATAATACCAATCATATGCATACAAAACATAAATAATTAATTATTATACAAATATTTTTCAGTATGTACAACAGGCTTTAAATGATATGGATAGTTGTGTGCCACAGTGAAGCCATTCTGAAAGACTGCATCTGTAAAGGACATGATTTATCATATTACAACATGGATACTTATTTGGAAAAAAAAAACAAACAGTTATCTTAATTAAATATTTTGTTTTATATTTTCTCAGCTTGGTAGACATTTATTATTTTTTGTATTTGTGCAATAGAATAATGTTTGTTAAAATCTCTAATGTAAATCTAGAAATATAAGTTGAAATGAATAAATTAATTCTATTATATATTAGTTTATTAAAATATTAACCTTATTACATGACAATTAAAAATTTTTATTTGTTACAAGACGGAAATTTTTCCGCCTAGGATTTTTCCAGGGGAATCCGCTTAAGGTAGGCGGAATCCGCCTAAGGTAGGCGGAATCCACCCAAGGTAGACGGAATCCGCCTAAGATAGGCGGAATTTGCCTAAGGTAGGCGGAATCCGCTGACATAACCATGCAGACTTTAAGCGGAATATTTAAATGAGCTAAGGCGGATTCCGTCTACATAGGCGGATTCCACCTTAGCTCATTTAAATATTTCGCACCATATTCCGCTTAAGGTCCGCCTAAGAAGCAATATTCATCTCTATTCAGTTTAAGGCGGAATCCGCTTTACTACATAGGCGGATTCCACCTACAGTCAGGGCGGAAGTTTTCGTACGGGATGGTCTGCCCCTGTCGTTAAATGAATAACAGTTTTGAAAACGTTGATATAATTGATAAAATTTTGTTTATTTTATTTCACTCTATATTTTTTCAAGCGAAATAAAGATTATAAATAGTGAAATAAATGTAAAACTTAAAACGTTTGCGACATTGAAATAGTGTACTTGATTTGTTTGTTTTGCATGTGCTGTTTGGCGCTACATTGTAACGTCATGTAAACAATACTTTAAACGTCTGTACCAAGTTAATGACTGAATAAAAGATATTGGTGTTCGGATTCATTTTCTTAGTTACACCATTTTCTTTCATTCTAGATAGTTTTCACAACAAAATTCGACAAAAAATTGTTTTTATTTATCAGATTTTTCAAACAAAATGGCGCCTTCAATTTTCATTTTACATTTTCCGTTTTAAAACTGTCATTTGATATTTTATACACAGCTTCCGTTATTCTGGTTCCCAGTCCAATTAAGGTTCCCATAGACTTGCGGGGTTGACCAGTCTACACATCCATTTTCAGTCAGAATTCCTCAGTTTTTATCGTTATCTTTAAATTCGAAAGGTTGCGATGTGTCCAATTTGGTACTTCGGACTAAAGTTTTCAAAACCATCACTTAGCAGGTACTGGCGTTACCGTAAAGCTCGCTTTGTGAGCAGGCCCTTGGGGGCCAGCTCTTAGAGCTCGCTAATAATTGAACTTTAATTAAGAACCTAAATCTAAAGATATTATAAGAACTCCATCCCTTGTGTAACAGTTCCTCCCCCGTGGTTTTTTATGCCCCCGCCATATAATGGCAGGGGCATATAGTGTTACCCTGTTCCGTCATTCCGTCCTTCCGTCATCATCAGTTTCCGTTCATTATCTTAATAACCCTTTTACATATTGAACTCAAATTTGACATATGGATATGTCATGAGAAAATACAGGTCAAGTTCGAAATTGGTCATGGTTCGATGATTTTTGGCAGAGTTATGCCCCTTTTACATTGAAAATAATATGAAATTTTCAGTTTCCGTTCATTATCTCCCAAACGGTTCAAAACATTCAATTCAAAATTGACATATGGATATGTCATGAGAAAATACAGGTCAAGTTCGAAATTGGTCATGGTTCGATGATTTTTGGCAGAGTTATGTCCCTTTTACTTTGAAAATAATATGAAATTTTCAGTTTCCGTTCATTATCTCCCCAACAGTACAACACATTCAACTCAAACTTGACATATTGATATGTCATGAGAAAATACAGGCCAAGTTCAAATTTGGCCATGGTTCGATGATTTTTGGCAGAGTTATGCCCCTTTTACTTTGAAAATAATATAAATTTTCAGTTTCCATTCATTAACTCCCCAATGGTACAACACATTCAACTCAAACTTGACATATGGATACGTCAAAGGAATGCGCAGGTCAAGTTCAAATTTGGTCATGGTTCAATAATTTTTGGCAGAGTTATGCCCCTTTCACTTTGAAAATAATATGAAATTTTCAGTTTCCGTTCATTATCTCCCCAATCGTACAACACATTTAGCTCAAACTTGACATAATGATATGTCAAAGGAATGGGCAGGTCAAGTTCAAATTTGGTCATGGTTCGATGATTTTTGGCAGAGTTATGCCCCTTTTACTTTGAAAATAATATGAAATTTTCAGTTTCTGTTTATTATCTCCCCAACAATATTAAACATTCAACTCAAATTTGACATATTGATACGTCAAAGGAATCCGCAGGTCACTTTTAAATTTGGTCATGGTTCGATGATTTTTGGCAGAGTTGTGCCCCTTTCACTTTAAAAATAATATGAAATTTTCAGTTTCCGTTTATTATCTCCCCAACAATATTACACATTCAACTCAAATTTGACATATGGATATGTTTTTGGAATGCGCAGACCAAGTTCGAATCTGGTCATGGTTCAATGATTTTTGGCAGAGTAATGCCCCTTTCACTTTGAAAATGATATGAAATTTACAGTTTCTGTTCATTATCAACCCAACAGTGTTACATATTCAACTCAAAATTGACACATGGATATGTCAAAGGAATGCGCAGGTCAAGTTGGAATTTGGTCATGGTTCGATGATTTTTTGGCAGAGTTATGTCCCTTTCACTTTGAAAATAATATAGATACATCTTAGGAATAAGCAGTTTAAGTTTGAATTTGGTCATGGTTCAATGATTTTAGACAAACTTATCTTTCCTGAATGTTGGAAAAATTTTGAACTTTCAGTTTCAGCACTCATACTTTTGTGGAAATGTATATAGCCATTATGTTGGCTACAAATATGCAATATGCTATTTTTAAAAGGTTAAGACTGAATAATTTCAGTGCCTTGAACATTGTATAAAAATGGTTAAGACTGAATAATTTCAGTGCCTTGAACATTGTATAAAAATGGTTTGTGTTAACATTGAAAAGTTTTAAGGGCTTTGAACTTAGAATGAAAAAAATAATTTGTGCAAACAAATTTGGAACTAAATATTATAACATTTGAAATTTTGGCTGCATGCGGGGGCATCCGTGGCATGATGACACATTTCTAGTGGTATTCTTATTTTTGTGCATCGTGTTCTTATCCAAAGGACCGAGAAGATGCAATTGTGTGCATTGTCGTGTGTCGACCCAAACACATGACATTTTTTAATAGTTCTATAAAATCATCGTAAACATATAATATATTTATTCATACTATGCATGCAAAAATATTCGTTAACAAAAATAACCAAAAAAACATTTCATAATTTGTGCACTCAGTATATAAAATATATAGTCTGTTATAGATAATAAATTTACAAGTTCAACTTTCAATACGTAATATATAAAATAATTTTACTCAACATCACTAATTCCGCTTCATCAGTTTTTCACGGTAATGGCATATTTTTCAGTGTTTTTTCGCCTACTTTAGGAATGGTGCCGTACCGGACAGATTGGGGAAAAAAATCCATTGGTTTGACTGTCAAATTGGGAATTTTACATAAGATGCAAAATATTCTTTGGGAATTTTTTTATCCAGGAAGACATGAAAATTATGCATAATAAACACTTAAAAACCATGTATTATTAACTTTATGCTTCTTGAGATTGAAAAAAAAAGATAATCATATATAATAATTGTACATAAATAATGTTAAGGTGTGAAACACTTAAAGTACGAAATTAACTGGGTACGAATATCACTCATGTGGTTATACTTGGTTTTTATCGCAGATCACAAATAAATGTCTTATGAATGGCATTTCTGTTTTTGTTTACTTTTAAAAATGATTTTTGTGTAAATTTTCAGTGTTATTTTGGGATTTATCAGTCATGTCAGAATTGGGAAATTTGTTGTCTATTTTCTATTGGGAACGGTGCCGTTTTCCTGGTTTCACTTATTTAACAAAAAAAAAAAAAAACACACACAAAAAAACACTGTTTTTATGCAACCAGTGTTAAAATTGATTAGAATTGACATATTTTATTCAAATACCTAAAAAAACAAAGTTTTTGTGGAAAATATTTTAAATCAACAGTTTTTTACGTGAAACAGAACAACATTTTACAAATTCTGCTAAAAGCAACACTAGTCCGTTAAATTTGTGCATATGTCTGAAACAATCATTATTTTTTAAATGTTCCTGTTTGTTGAAAATATAAATTTCGAGTAACAATGTAACGATACTTTTAATATTTAAAATAATGCTGAATAACATGTAGAAATTTTAACTGAAACGTGAAAAAACTGAAATATAACACCATTACCATGATTTAAATGATGATATATTGTTTTCAAAATGGCCGACAAATGGTTTACGTTTGGCTCATTTAAACTGATTTTGACTAAATATATATATATTTGTTTAAAATTGATATAGCAAAGCTATACAGGTTGAAAAAATATGTCTTTACCTGTTTGTTCTTATTTTTTAGGCATCAAGAATTCCAGTTCGCACAAATATAGAGCAGGTGCAAGTTTAGATTTTCATATCATTCTGTAAATACAATACTACTAACAGAAGTAATTGAAAAGAAAACTGAGTTACTACTAGCGAAAAAGCTGGAGAGGTCATATTTGTGACCCAATAAGTATACTGGTTAACATTTGACAATGCACACTGGAGAAGAATATAGATGCGGAGTCTGTGAAAGATCATTTGCTAATGAACAAACTCTTAAAAAACACATGATGATACACACCAGTAATACAAGTTTTCAATGCGAAATCTGTGAAAAATCATTTTCTCATCAACATTATTTGAAAGAGCATCTTACAATACACACAGGAGAAAAATATTATGAATGCAAAATATGTGACAAATCATTTTCTCGAAATCAATCTCTTAAACGACATATGACAATACATACAGGAGAGAAGAATTATCAATGCAAAATCTGTGATCGATCATTTTCTTATAAAAACTCTCTGGAAAGACATATGAGAGCACACACGGGAGAGAAAAAGTACCAATGTGAAATATGTGACAAATCATTTGCTGATAACTATACTTTTCAAGGACATATGACGATACACACAGGCTTAGAGAAATATAAATGTGAAATATGTGAAAAATCCTATCCACATTATACTTCTCTTAAACTACATATGTTGATTCACACTGGAGAGAAATATCAATGTGAAATATGTGGCAAAACATTTACTCAAAACAGTAGTCTTAAAACACATATGATTACACACACCGGAGAAAAGAAACATAAATGTGATATTTGTGACCAATCGTTTTGTTATAAATCTGCCCTTCAATCACATATGATAATACATACTGGAGAAAAGGCATATAAATGTGAATTCTGTGATAGAGCATTTTCTAATAAAAGTTCTGTTAAAAAACACTTGAGGACACATACTGGAGAAAATAAATATCAATGCAGTATGTGTGAAAGGTCATTTAATGCAAGTTATCTTAAAAAACATATGCTACTGCACACAGGAGAGAAGAAATACAAATGTGAAATTTGTGACAAAGCATTCACTCAAAAACGTTATCTTAGTAGACATATGAACATGCATTCAGAAGAATGTAAAAATGTGTGCGAAATCTGACTCAAAAAAGCTATCTTGTCACACATATGTCAATACACAGGTGAAAAGGAATAAATATGCCAAATTTGTGATAACCTTTTCGCTCGACACAATTATCTTAAAGAACATATGCTGATACATTCAGAAGAGAAGAAACATCCATGCGAAATCTGTGACGTTAACCTATATGAACTGTGAATAAAGATTTTTGAAACAATGCCTTTGTCAGTCACTGTTTACTACAAAAATGTATCTTAACCCTTTACCTCAAATATACTCGAAGCAACGCACTTTCGACCCCCCCCCCTTTAAATTAGGCCTCAAACAGTGAAAAAATGTCCTATTTGGGCCCCAAACATGTTGTCGTTTGAGAAATGTTGTAAAAAAAGTGAACACTTTTTCGGCGCCGCCCCATCGAAAAGATACATCAGGGGGTTGCCAGAATAGGGATTTGCCCCCTTCTATTTGGGGGGGGGGCGGAAGACCCCCTAATCGCCAAAAAAATTTGGACTTGTGAGAAGCGTAAAATGACCCCAGTTCGATCATAAGGTAACGTGTTACCAACACTGAAAAGCCTTTGACTCTATCTCATCCATTGATAAGTTGCAACACTTTGAAATAAATTTTGATGGAAAAAATCAAGGCAAAATAGTGATTTTTGGCAATTTTGAGACGTCCCCTCGTTGCCATGGTAACAGGAAATTTAAGACTGATCGAGCATGTCGTTACAAAGGCAATGGTCCAGTCAACATTTGTGCCAAGTTTAATTAGTATAAAGCATTTTACATAGTTTCAAAGCAGTTTGAACTTGTAACAGGAGGCTTTTCAATGAAAACGGCCATTTTTCGCAATATGCTCATGAAAAATAGAAATGTTACAAAACAACAATTTTTCACCAAAATTAGGTAAAATACCACATATGTTCACATGGAAAAACTAGATTTTAGGTATTTCCAAAGTTTTTCATCATTTTTTTTGTTAAGACTTATGAACGAAGACTGCTAGCTGAAATAATTTGTAGCGTTTCTTACGAAACGACAAAGATGCTTGGTGGCCATGAACAAATTGTGTACAAATTTGAGTAAGTAAACTCCTATATAAAGTTTATATTAAAAATGTTATAATGTTTATCAACTCCCACGACGTCGATTATGATGATTATTATGGTGATTTATGAAAAAAGACTTGTATAAGAATTTGTAGTATTTATTCCTAAACGACAAAGGAGTTTGCATCATGGTGGTAAATGCCGCGTTATGTTAAAAATCCAATACGTACAAGTTTGATTATTAAGCTTCTTAAGTTTTAGTAAAAATGAAAATGTTTTTGTTTATAACATGATGATTATTATGATGGTGGTGGTGGTGATGATGATGATTATGATGATCAAGTCATTTTCCTACTCTCCTGCGCATCGGTCGAATGTTCCACTATCGCACACTTGTCTGAAGTACTCTCCTGCGCATCGGTCGAATGTTCCACTATCGCTCACTTCTTACTGAAGTAACGTCTGAAGTAACGGGAGTGTATTCAGTAAGCTGCGAAGGGAGCGTATGTTCTGCTCAATGATAGATTGTACCACTGCCTTTTGAAGCGGTTTAATGGATCCATAATTGAAACGTTTTGCAAGCTTATCGAAAGTTGAATTGTTAACAGTCGCCATTTTGTTTACAAAATTTTGAGGAATTACCCGTCTATTTATAATTTTGTACACACGTCAAATGTTTCAACCAATGAAAATGCGTATAAAGATTTTCGGGCGATTTGGATTTTGGAAAACTTTCATTGGTCGTTCAAAGTTCACTGTAAAGGTCAATATCATGAATCGACGCGTTTTAAAGCAGCGGTCTGAAGTAACGGGAGTGTATTCAGTAAGCTGCGAAGGGAGCGTAGTCATTTTCCATGATATGGTATATTCCATCATTATATATATAATAAAAATGGTTACAACATTAAAAAGTAAAAATCAAGTTGATGTTTCATGGTTTAAACATAGATTTAATTGTTGAATGGACAATTTATAATATAGTGACTGTTAATGAGACATGGATCTGCATATAGATTCGAACCTGAAATGAAATAACAGTCATCTATGTGAAAAACCAGTGATCGCCTTCGCCTAAGAAGTTTAAAGTCAGCCCATCTGCAAAGAAAAAAGATGTTCATCGTCTTCTTTTGCGTCGACGGCGTAATACTGAGCCATGCGGTGCCCCTGGTTCAGACGGTAACGGCGAAGGTTTATTCTAAGGTGAATAAATTCATCAGATTTCTTATGCAATATTCATTCTAAAGTCAATACAATACCTAACAATTATCAATATTTGTGTAAGTTATTATGAAAAGAATCATTACAACAGTTTATTATGATTATGATATTATTATTCTAGAATATATAATGTCTTACAAGCCGTATGCGCTGATTTATTACTTTTAATTCGAAGAAGATGTATTTTATAACATATGTCTGGCCTTTTGCTGTGCGAAGTGGTCATCCCCCTACCATGTTGGACAATTCAGAATTATTTTTGGATAATTTCAATATCTGCGTTATCTACAGAATGTACAGTACGGTAATTATTACAGCCTGATACCTATATTAATTAACAGAGTTATTTCCCTTTGTTTTACAAACTCTTTACAGCAGCCTTATTATAGAGGTGGAGAAACATGTATTGCGATTTGTTTAAGTTTAATGTATTTAAAAGACAACACTTAAGTTAGTAAGTATAGATTTGATCATAGTTTATCTAGGTAAAAGACATTTAAATAGACGCTTGTTAAGCAGTAACAATTGTTATAATCATTATAATAATTTGGGAATTATAGGCCTACTCAAAACCACAGACACTTGGGGTTTGGAGCTCAAAACGCCTTTAAAATCCAAATAAAATGCATATTTGTCAATCCCAGCACATGTACTGATCATTTATATCAAAAAAACTTAATATAAGCCGATTTGAAAAAAATTCATATTTCAACATCTATAATAATACACAAGATAAAAAATGTTCGTCGGAAAAAATCCGCACCCCTACCGTCATAATCACCATGTATTTTATTCCATTTCCAATATTTTCACATAATCCTTTGGTCCATCGACACAGAAGATATAACTCTTCACGATGATGGTCAATTTTTAACTTCAACGGTAATATAAACAACGCAACAGCCGAAATAAACATCAATATTATCCCTGTTTTCCTTCGATGACATTATCTTTCGATAAATTCAAACGTGCCAGGCGGCTATGACCGAAGCCATCCGATTATGTGGTTCCCACACTTAAACGCGCTGCACATTTTACACACGGATGTCGACTTTAAAGCTTTATTGGTGGATGAAGGTATCGGTGCTTCTTTGTGCATTACTTTTTTTTTTAAACTGCTTTATAACTTAAACAAATTTAGATAATAATCAGGTCAAAGACAGATTAAGTAGTCATGAATAAATTAAAAAGGTGATCTGCCCTACGCATGTCGCAGGGTCATATTGATGTATTAATGTTAGATGTTATTTGTAAATGTATGTCCCGTATTGTACACCGTAGATTATGTGAAGTCCTATATTTGTGTCCTTTTCCTATATTCCATACATTCATCCTTTTATTCATTTACTCATTCATTCATTTCTTCATTCATTCATTTTATTAACAAGTATGTACTAACCATTGGTACGGGCATCAATCTTAAATATTCTATTTCCGCACAAAGTACCTTCACGCATGCGCACTCCTACTGAAGATTTTCATGGCGCGAGCCAGACTTCGTATTCATCGATAATAAATATTTTCTGAGAGCGTATTTCTGTATTTTTACAGCAACCCTCAAGCCCAGAACCTCTTAGCAGCACCTTTCCCATATCGTAAGAGTGGACTGCGACACGCAGATTGCGTGAAAAAATACTATTTACGATCGACTTTTTCGTTTTTCGTAGCAACGGATGGCGTTCGAAAAAAAATGGTCCATACTGCAGTGCAGTTGGTAATGCACATGTTATTTTAAATTCAAGACGAATTACACTACAGTATACGTACATGTATGTCTCTCAATTCAATACAAAAATATGAAAACCACCAAGTTACATTAATTTAAATTTTCTTATTATATTTGATAGTATTATATATCTAGAACCTACACGTGTCTTTTTACGTCAACTCGATCCATGATAAGTCCAAGAGGATTATGAATAGTCGCATAGATTATTAGTTATAAATATTGTTAACGGGTTATATGGCCCTATATAAACGGTTATAATGCAAACAGCCTTTTATATACAGCCATATAATCTGTCTTTTACCACTAAGTCACTCGACTTTTACCACTAAGTCACAAATGTCTATTTAAAAGGCTGAATGGAACTTCATGTATTCGATTCTAAATGGTTATATACATGACCGCTGATTATAACAGTTTATAGTTTAATTAAAATTGAACATTTCCTGTAATTCTTCAACATTTTGAGCAATGACATAAGTGGGCTAAAATAACCAAATCGTATTGCGATTTAATAATTACGTTGAAATATATTCGCTCAAAACAATTGCTTAACTTTGAAGTAAAGTTTTGAAAGTCAAGAGAAATTTGCCGATTATAAATATAGAAAATGCAAGAGTCTGGCGCACCATGTGTGCGCACTCAAACATCACTGCGGTATACCGTACCCCGGATATTGCTCGATATTATGAGGACTTTCATCCCATTTCGCGACTTTGAACGGGGAACGAAGGTAAGTTCAGCGACGATATTTTTCAAACTAATGGCTATTTTATTTATCTCAACGGGTTTTATATATCTAGTGGTATTTTTGTAGCTCTAAAAGACATAAAAGTATTACAGGTGTTTGTAAAAATTGATTAAACTACCCCTAAACGATCCGCTGCTCACTAGAAAATACTGACCGCGATACTTCAGAATCGTTAGAAATTATTATATTACAAATATAAAAAAAATTGAATCGAGCAATTTTTTTATTCACAATCCAAGTATACTTTGTTCAAATTTCAGGCAAAATGTGTGAAAGTACAAAAAGATACAGGCCAAAAAAGATACAAGAAAGTGTACCGAGTATTGATTTTAAGTGTACAGAGTATTGCAAAATAGCCCAACTTTAGTGTACAGTGTATTGCAAAACAGAATGAGCACATTAGTATGGAAAATCGATATTTTTGTCCAAATTTTACGTCTGTTTATCGATTCCATTTTATTTTGCTGATAATGTATTGTTTATATGATATGAATTCAAATATTATAAATTCAACAATGCATTCAGTGTTATTACTGTACTTTTTCTACGAGCAAATACAGATATTTAATTTTCCATTTAATTGAAAATCACACTATGGATGAAATAAAGAGTGTGCAGGATCGGAAGCAGGGTCGGGAGCAGGGTAGAATCATTAAAATTGACGATAAAAATCTTTAAATACATGTCTCAAGAAGCACAAACCATAGCTGGACCATAGCCTGTGGAATAGCATGCTCAATTTTAAATTTCCAGTTACCATGGCAACGAGGGAACGTCTCAAAATTGCCAAAAATCTCTAGTTTGAGTTGTTTTTTCCCGTCAAAACTGATTTCAAAGTGCAGCAACTTCTCAATTAATTGAGATAAAGTCTTAGGCTTTTCGGCGTTGATTTTAAGGTACCTTTAAATCGACCTGAGGCCATTTTAGCTCCCCCTCACCCCAACAAGTCTCAAGTCTTCTCGGCGATTAGAGGGATTATTGCCCCACTTCAAACCCCCAAACAGAAGGGGGCACATCCCCCTGTGGCACCCACTTGATGTACCTTTTAAATGGGGGTGGCGCCGAAAAAGTGATCACTCTTTTGAACAACATTTCTCAAACGAAAACACAGTGTTTGGGCCTAAATAGCGCATGTTTTACACTATTTGAGGCCTCAAAAGGGGTGGGGTGTAAAGCCTTCAAAACACGCCTTTATGAGGTAAAAGGTTATAAGGAACATAACCTTTTTATTACATCTGCTGCCCTTTATCATAATCTTATCAAAATCCATTACTCGATTTTTTTAGCTGTACCAGTTCGGCAGTCATAGCTAGGGTAACTCATTGCTAATGACGTAACAAATTTCAAGTGCAGACGTCACAGTGTGCCGTTGCTAGAGTGCAGGTGCAAAATGTCGAAAGTTACCATTATATGGATTTTTGGCATAGTAGGAAGTCGGTTGATATTAGATATTGGCATACTTGCTCAATACCGTCTAATATTGACAATCTTTTGAGGCAGCATTAATGCACTTTGGATGCATTTTTTACTATTTAAAGTAAGATTAACAAATTCTGGAAAGGTTGATCCTTCGATAGCAACGAGAACTTTGTAAACACAGAAAATTGCTGAGTTCGTTCGACTGAGATTTTTCATGAGCAGGAATGAAAATCTGGATTATTCGCAGATGTTTCCAGTAAAGTACCTCCGAACTCTGCATATTCTGCACATATAGTGTAAATAAGTATACACAATAAGAAATATTTAAGATTAAATGTGGTAAATACTCAGTGTTTACTATTTGCATTTACTCTATATTGATAACCAATACTCCTTACACTAAAAGCAATACTCGTGACACCGGCGGGCAACTCCAGCGCAATACTCGGTACACTGAGATGTGTATTTATTCTCAAATTGCACTGCCATCTGAGGTTCTATTGTTGATTGAGCATTGACAACATAAACATTATCATCATTATCACATTTCACTCGATTCAAGTTTTTCTTTTAAGGGAGTATATGCACGAAAACATCAAATTTGACTGATCCGAGCTCATTTGTCTCGTGAGCAAAGAGACGAATTTTACCTCCTAATTATATTTCAAAGCTATTTCTCAACATTTCTGGGTTTTCAGTAACTAGAGAAATTATCGAAGTATTTGTTTTTCTATAACATTTATATCAAACCAATTCAAAATGACTAAATATCGTCACTGAACTAACCTTCTTTCCTCGTTCAAAGTCGCGAAATGGGATGAAAGTCCTCATAATATAGAGCAATATCCGGGGTACGGTATACCGCAGTGAACATACTCTCACACACTTAGTAAAGTTATACATATACCCAAGTTATTCTCCGTCTAAATCGATGACATTATTTTAAGTCACATTATGCAAATTGACTAATAGCTAGACTGTTATAACAGTGACTGACAAAATCATCTGAAAAAAATTCTAGGATAAAATATAAATCTGTTTTAATTAAAAAGACTGTCTTACCATTATATAAATTGTACATAACAAGTAAAAATCAATGAATATATATAGAAATTTTATTGGGTCACATGAGTTATTACGTTCAGTCGAAGTAAATTTTAAAACTGAAAGGAATTATGGCAAAATGTAAACTGACTTTTCACTCACTATATATACTTAACTAGTAGACAGTTATAACAGTGACTGACAAAATCATCTGAAAAAAATTCTAGTATAAAAATTATGAATCTGTTTTAATATAAAAAAGACTGTCTAACTCTTCTTTATAAATTGAACATCACAAGTGAATTTCAATGAATATGTATAGAAATTAGCAATTTATCGTTCAGTCGAAGTAAATTTTAAAACTGAAAGTTATTATGGCAAAATGTAAACCTTTTCACTCACTATATATATTCTTGGATGGGCATAATGTCTAACATAACAACTACATGTATCAATTACTTGATGTGAATATACGAATTTTTCACGATAAGTTATTTCTGAAAAGCATGTTTTGTAAAATTTATTTCTCTAAATATACCACAATATAATATATATGCGTCTATAACTTTTAAATCCAGGTGTTATTCATACAAAATACATTTCTTTATATACATCATTAAATATTTTTACATCTGACTTATGTATGTTAATTCCATAACATTTTACTGTTATCAAAAATGTTCCAATAAATAACTCCGCATACATTCATGAAATACAAGAATGAATATTCACAATTCATTATTTATTATGCCCACACAATGTGGGAGCATATAGCGTTGCACTTGTCCGTCCGTCCGTTATTCCGTCCGTCCGTCCGTCAGTCCGTCCCGAAATCTTGTGAACGCAACTCCTCTTAAACCGGATGGCAGATTTTGCTTAAACTTACAGGGATGAACAACCTTAATGTGTACATGGTAGTAAAGGAAGGAATTTTTGCTGCGACCAAATTTAACAGAATTATGGCCCTTTGTTGATTTTTCACTATATACTATGTAGAAATTTTGTTTGTGAACGCAACTCCTCTTAAACCGGATGGCAGATTTTGCTTAAACTTACAGGGATGAATAACATTAAGGTGTAGATGGCAGTTAAGGAAGGAATTTTTGCTGCGACCAAATTTTACAGAATTATGGCCCTTTGTTGATTTTTTCACTATATACTATGCAGAAATTTTGTGAATGCAACTCCTCTTAAACCGGATGTCAGATTTTGCTTAAACTTTCAGGGATTAACAACCTTGATGTGTAGATGGTAGTAAAGGAAGGAATTTTGCTGCGACCAAATTTAACAGAATTATGGTCCTTTGTTGATTTTTAGTTTTCAACTTTTGTCACATGTAGTCGAAAAATATTTGACCTAGAGTAATAAGATTGACAGAACAGTAGCGTGTGGGGGCATCCGTGTCCTATGGACACATTTCTAGTTGTTATTTATCAATGCTTATAAAGTGTCAATAAACTAAACGATCAGATCAGCTTCATATGTCACAAATATATTGTAACTGTGTGTGTGTGTGTGTGTTTTTCGGTTTATTTTAGCTCGGCGCCGGAAATTCCATATGTCCGAGATCTCAGCGTCCATGCCGGTCCACTCTAGTAGTCTCATCGGGGACGTCTTTTTCATGCCGATCTTCCTAAGTCCTGTTCTTCGTTCGGTGGAGGAAAGACAATACCGGAAAAGCATCAAGTTCCGTGACGGCTGCAAACAGGCGGTTGACATAAAACGGCTCTTGTTAGCGCCACCCTCCAGAGTTAGTCACGACAGGTCAACCAATCACCTCTGGTACTTGAGATGACTTGACCTTGACCTGCCGTGTGCCTTCTCCGCGACGTGCACGCCTCTGGAGGGATTTGGAGAAGGTGTAACTGTCTCCCTAATTAAACATTACCTAATTGATTTTTGTCTGGAAGTTCTCTTTAATTGCTTGAACGAATACTGGAAAATAGTTAACTATGTGCTAATTACAGTGACAATGAGGGTCTATTTAATTTGATTGACTAATTATCGATACAAGATTTTGAAGTGAAAGTAAAATAATAAATAGAGTACTTCCGAGTGTCTATATAAATTTAATTAGATCTTTCAAGCAATTAAATAGTACCGGAAATAATTTTCAATGTTTTAGTAAATTTAATATCAATCTTGCACTTATAAGAGCGTCAATTCATTTGTGCTTGGACATCATTACATTGTATCTTGACTTTAATTATTACTTAAAAAGTTCAGACATATTTCACCACGATTTATATCCAGTTGAAAGAATAATATCACCAGGAAAACTCTCTTATTTTGGGGTTAAGAACTCGAGGTAAAAGCGACTGCTGAATTAATTTCTATATTACATCCTTTCTTATTATCTGTTTTCATATATTTATCTGTACATACAAGAAAAGGAAGGAAAATTGTAACTGAAAGATACATGTTTGAACAGATAGAATATTCATTATATCAATTATTTACGATATTATGAAGTAAGATTTATGCATATATAAAACTATAAGGTTTATTCATGAGTTTGAATAGATGAAATTATGTTGTATTTGTCTTTTTTATAATTTTAGACATCAAGAAACCCAGATGCAAAATTCGCGCGAATACAGAACACGTACAAGTTTTAGATTGTCATATATGTGTAAACAATACTACGAATAGAAGTTATTTGAAAGGAATCTTATTGAGAGGTCATATTTGTGACCAAAATAAGTAAATACTGGTTAACATTTGACAATGCACACTGGAGAAGAATATAGATGTGGAGTCTGTGAAGGATCATTTGCTAATGAACAAACTTTTAAAAAACATATGATAATACACACCAGTGATACAAGTTTTCAATGCGAAATCTGTGAAAAATCATTTTCTCATCAACATTATTTGAATGAGCATTTAACAATACACACAGGAGAAAAACAATATGAATGCAAAATATGTGACAAATCATTCCCTCGAAATAAATATCTTAAACGACATATGAGAATTCATACAGGAGAGAAAAATCATCAATGCAAAATCTGCGATAAGTCATTTTCTATAAAAAGTACTTTTGACAGACATATGAGAGCACATACGGGCGAGAAGAAATACCGATGTAAAATATGTGACAAATCATTTGCTGATAACCATACTTTCCAAGGACATATGACGATACATACAGGCTTAGGGAAATATAAATGTGAAATATGTGAAAAATCCTATCCACATTCTAATTCTCTAAAATTACATATGGCGAGACACACTGGAGTGAAATTTCAATGTGAAATATGTATTAAAACATTTACTCAAAACAGTAGTCTTAAAACACATATGATTACACACACTGGAGAAAAGAAATATAAATGTGATATTTGTGACCGTTCGTTTTCTCATAAAACTATCCTTAAATCACATTTGATTACACATACAGGGGAAAGAGCATATAAATGTGAAATCTGCGACAGAGCATTTTCTAGAAAAGGTTCTCTTGAAATACACGTGGGGACACATACTGGAGAGAAGAAATATCAATGCAGTATGTGTGAAAGGTCATTTAATGCAAGTAATAATCTTAAAACACATATGTTACTACACACAGGAGAGAAGAAATACAAATGTGAAATATGTGACAAAGCATTCGCTCAAAAACGTTATCTTAGTAGACATATGAAAATACATTCAGAAGAATGTAAAAATGTGTGCGAAATCTGTGACAGACGGTTTACTCAAAAAAGCGATCTTGTCGCACATATGACAATACATACAGGAGAGAAGGAATACAAATGTAAAATTTGTGAAAAGTTTTTTGCCCGACACAGTTATCTTAAAGAACATATGCTGATACATTCGGAAGAGAAGAAATATCCATGCGAATTATGTGATAGACAATTTGCAACAAAAAGTAGACTTACAAAACATATGAAAATACACACAAAAGAGAAGAAATGATGATTGGATATCAAAGTTTCTTGACTATTTAAAAATGTAAATATCTACTACATGTTTTTGTAAGATCATTTTCTCAATAACGATATCTTCATGATATAATTTTGACAACATTACACTGTACAAACTGTGAATAAAAAGTTTTGAAACAATCAGCATGCTTTTGTCAGTCTCTTTTAACTCCAATAGGGAGTGGCTTATGAAAGCAGACTGCTGAAATAATGTGTAGTGTTTATTACAAAATGACAAAGATGCTTGGTGGCGATTGAACAAATTGTGTACTAATTTGATTAAGTAAACTCATAAAAAGTTATATTAGAAATAAAAAATTATTATGTTTGTAAACTCATACGATGATGATTGATGATATGATTACAATGATATATGAAAAATGACACGTATTATTACGAAAAACGACAAAGTGGTTTGGTGGTAAATGCCCAAGTTTTCTTAAATTATCCAATATGTACAATTTGATTATTAAACTTCTTAAGTTCATGTAACATGAACATGTTTATGTTTATAATCAGATTGATTATGATGAATGGTGATGATGGGTGATATGATGATGATGAATTATGATGATCAAGACATATGATATATAATATAAATGGTTATAACTTTAAAAAGTAAAAATCAAGTTAATGTTTCATGGTTTAAACATAAATTTAATTGTTGAATGGACAATTTATCTGACACTTCCAGATTAATTTAATAGAGAGATGATCGTGTTGAATTTATAAAACAAATTACGACGCACAAACATAGCTGAATGAAGCAAATGCAGAAATGAAAATTTAATTATTCTTGCGACGGATATAGTGACTGTTGATGAGATATGGATCAGCCTATACGAACCTGAATTGAAATCACAGTCATCTATGTAGAAAAACCGTGATCCCCCTTACCTATGAAGTTCAAAGTCGTCCCATCTGCAAAGAAAAAAAGATGTTCATCGTCTTCTTTGGCATCGACGGCGTGATACTGAGCCATGCAGTACCCCTGGGTCAGACGGTAACTCTAAGGTGAATAAATTTATAAGATTTCTTATGCAATATTCATTCTTAAGTCAATATATTACCCAACAACTATTAATAGCGAGCTCGACGAGCTGGCCCGAAGGGCCTGCTCGCAAAGCGAGCTTTACGGTAACGCGAGTACCTGCTAAGTGATGGTTTTGAAAACTTTCGTCCAAAGTACCGAATTGGACACATCGCAACCTTTCGAATTTAAAGATAACGATAAAAACTGAGGAATTCTGACTGAAAACGGATGTGTAGACTGGTCACCTGCGCACGTCTATGGGAACCATAATTGGGCAGGGAACCAGAATAACGGAAGCTGTGTATAAAAAATGAAAATCGAAGGCGCCATTTTGTTTGAAAAATCTGATAAATAAAAACAATTTTTTTGTCGAATTTTGTTGTGAAAACTATCTAGAATGTAAGAAATGGTCTAACTAAGAAAATTAATCCGAACACCAATATCTTTTATTCAGTCGTTAACGCTGTACAGACGTTTAAAGTATTGTTTACGTGACGTCACAATGTAGCGCCAAACAGCACGTGCAAAACAAACAAATCAAGTACGCTATTTTAATGTCGCAAACGTTTTCAGTTTTACATTTATTTCACTTTAAATAATCTTTATTTCGCTTGAAAAATTATAGAGTGAAATAAAATAAACAAAGTTTTATCAACGTTTTCAAAACTCGTTATTCATTTCACGACAGGGGCGGGGCCATATTTAACACAGTACGTGTGACGTCACACGCACTCGTTACTGCATTTGAAATAAAAAATAAGCGATTTTTCATACTATTTCACGTAAAAAGTACATCGAGCTCGCTTTTAGGCTTTGCCTTTTTCATAATATGAAAAAGGCAAAGCCTCAAAGCGAGCTCGATGTACTTTTAACGTTAAATAGTATGAAATAATCGCTCATTTTTATTTTAAATGCAGTGACGAGTGCGTGTGACGTCACACGTACTGTGTTAAATATGGCTCCGCCCCTGTCGTTAAATGAATCACGAGTTTTGAAAACGTTAATGTCGCAAACGTTTTAAGTTTTACATTTATTTCACTTTAAATAATCTTTATTTCGCTTGAAAAATTATAGAGTGAAATAAAATAGACAAAGTTTTATCAACGTTTTCAAAACTCGTTATCCATTTCACGACAGGGGCGGAGCAAAATTTAACACAGTACGTGTGACGTCACACGCACTCGTTACTGCATTTGAAATAAAAATGAGCAATTATTTCATACTATTTCACGTAAAAAGTACATCGAGCTCGCTTTGAGGCTTTGCCTTTTTCATATTATTTGTGTAATTAATTATGAAATAAATCATTTCAACAGTTCATATTATGAGTTCTAGAATATATAATGTGCTATACTAGCCGTATGCGTTGATTTATTTCTTTTAATTCGAAGAACATGTACTTTAAAACATTTGATGGTCCTTTGATCATCCCCCATCCATGTTGTACAATTCAGCATTATTTTTGGATTATTTCAACATCTGCGTTATGTACAGAATGGACAGTACGGTAATTATTATAGCCTGATACCTATATTAATTCACGAGTTATTTCCCTTTGGTTTGCAGCCTTATGGAGGAGATACATGTTTTGCGATTTAATGTATTTAAATATAAATTTGATCATAGTTTTTTTAGGTAAAAGACGTTTTAGACGCTTGTTAAACAGTAAAATTTTATTCTTATAATTATTATAACATTTTGGGAATTATACTCAAAATTACCATATTTTAAACATGAAGATGACTTTGAGGTGATAAAAATGGATTATAAATTAGTTTTTGACACATGATACAAGATGTAAGGCAAATTTAATTATTAAACCTTAATTTAGAACGTAAATCTCACTTTTTAAAGGTGAAAATTACCACTTTTGATGATTGTTTCTGAACTTAAGTTACTACACTGTGGTTCTGTGCATTCTGACTTTTGTGTTCGGTGTTCTTATAACCGAAGATTTGAAGTAAAGGACCGAGATTAGAAGATCACAATGGTGTCGAGATTACCATGAAATATCCTATTCATTCACCTGTCCTTCTAACCTTTATAAAAAGAGCATTTACTTGTTACTGTGCTTACAGGCTAATACTCATTTTCTTAAAACATTAATACCATTTTTGGGGGCGCAAGCCCCCAGTGTAATTACGATAAATTCAGCTTACTATGGTTTGAACGCATTTAGGCTATCTGCGCGGAGCAAAAATAGTTCCAATATTTTGCTATAATATTCATATAATCATAATACCTTATCTACTTCAAAATTTACTGGTCATTTAATTACTAAATTTTAATTCCTTTTATCACAAAATTACATATATCATTGCTTTACGCGATTTGAATATTACTACGCCAGCAGTCGATAAAAATTTAAAGAGAACCAGTTAATTTTTTCTACCTTCTGGTTCCCGATGCATGAAAGCCAAAATACGTACATAAATTTAGTGCCAATTTTTTTAAGTCATAAGTTAAACTACCAGGGAACACAATAATTTTGGATAAAATGGAGTACGATTTTCAAATTAGATAACTTTAAGCTTAAAATGCTTAAAAAGTGTGAATGTCAGAGAAAAAAAATGTATGCGTATGAATACGGACTATTTTCTCTCTGACGTCATTTTCCCGCAATCGCCATCTTGGCCAGTTATTCCGAGAAAGATTGAGAAGATTTGTTATCGATTAGGAAGTCCCAGGTGTTTAAAACAGTTGTAAGTTTTATTATACGAACACTTAATCTCCTGTATGCATAACTGTTTAGTAACTTCGTTGGTTTTTCTTGCATTTATCAGTAGATCTAGCAAAATCGTCAGGTAAACGACCTATATTTGGCTGTTATGTGTTTACACTTACAGAAAATACAGCAGGTCAATATGTTTGTTTATATTTTATAACGTTGATATTTTAGGTGCAATGTATTCCGTATGTAGAATCAAGTTTTCTTCCAAATCTGGTAAAGCTTTTGATATATTTTGCTTGATATTATGATTATTATTGATGCAAATTTAAGTGCATAATTTACATCGATTCAGTGTCAGCTCGGCCCAAAAACGTACTCGTCCCCGAGTCAGCTCGGCCCTTTTCTAACTCGGTCCACTTTTCAATTTATTGATATATTGGTTTGTTTAATCACTCTTTATTGTTGAAACAACATAATTAAGTGAACTGATTAATATCTGGATTATTCATAAATGTGGAAAGATATTTTCTCAAATTATTACTACATTTTTTGGGGATGCTTAACTACCTTTTGACGCATCTCTATTAGCTATCTAAGCTGGACAAAATAGGTCCAAAACTTTTTCATGGTATACAGGAAAAATATAATAATCGGCGAAAAATGATAGTTTTCTATTTTGTGATCATGATTTTTGCAAGTAACTGGAGGTACTGCCCAAGTCCTGTAATGAGTTAAATCCTATCAATTAGAGTCAAAGAACATGCATAAATATAGTACCAACATTATTTAGTCATGTCAGTGAACTTACTATCATAAGACGCAACAACTAACAAAATATTGCAATATGTTTGGTTTTTTTTTTCGAATCGATAAGCTTTGAAATGCTTCAAAAGTGCAAATATATTGTAAGAACTTTGTATAATGCGTATGAAATATGAATACATACTATTTTCTCATGTACGTAATTTTCCCGTATTTGTGTAATCACCATGTCGACAAGGTTAGCAGGTAAACATTGCAAAATTTTGTTCACTGTTGAATACGACTGTATAATATTCATTGTTTATATTTCACTTTACCTTGAAAAAAAATGCAATCTGGTATAACAACTACTTTATCTCTTTGTATTTCCCTTTAGTGATTAATAATGGGGCATAACTTAAGTTCCATTTGGACCACAATATTCAAACTTCATAGGAGGATTGTTATTTGAAGGAGGTAATATTTTATTTTATTCCATTGTCTTACAAATGCTTCATCTTTACTTAAAAAATCACTTTCTTGTACCCAATATGGACAATTATTCTATGAAGTTTGAACACTGTGCGGTTGGTAATAATTTAAATTGATGATTGTCTATATTGAGTAGAAGGCCCCTATTGATTTTGGGGTTCCAAAGTCAAAGGGCAAGGTCACTATTACCTTAAAACTGAAACAGTCCCATTTACCCCACAGTGTTCAAACTTCATAGGAGGATTGTTATTTGAAGGAGGTAATACTTTATTTAATTCCAATGTCTTACAAATGCTTCATCTTTACCTAAAAAAAAACACTTTCGGGCATATAACGGTCCGCTTACGTTATTCAGGAATAAATTGAAAAGGTGATCTGCCCAACGCAGATTGCGCGAAAAAAATACTACTTCCGATCGATTTTTTCATAGCGACATAAAATGGTCCATACTGGAGTGCAGTTGGTGAAGACGAATTACGTACACTAAAGTATACGAACATGTATGTCTCCCAAGTCAATACAAAAATATAAAGACCACCGAGTTACATTGATTTAAATTTTCTTATTATATTTTATAGTATTATATATCTAGAACCTACACGTGTCTTTTTACGTCCACTCGATCAATCATAAGTCCAAGATGATTATGAGTAGTCGCATAGATTATTAGTTATAAAGGGATTGGTTATATTTTTATATGACACGTATATAACGGCCTCGTTTGTTAAATATACTTGCATAATAAGCATATCAAATTTTTTTGAGAAAGTAAGGATTTTGTTCAATGAATTCGACAATAGCCATGTATATAAAACTATATAAACGTCACGATTATCCAATGAAAAAACGACGTTACAAACGTGCAGTATTAAAATTGTAAATATATTTTGGATATCATAATTGAAAGTCTTTGTCTAAGGTCCATAACTCTAGCATGACATTTGACTCATTTATGGCCTTTTTTGAACTAAGAAAATTCCTGGTTTTAGTGATGCGTGCAACATTTATCTGTGAGGCGTAAGGGGTACGAAATCAGCGCCTTTTACCACTAAGCCAAAAATGTCTTTTTAAAAGGCTGAATGGAAGTATGCGATTCTTATGCAGTGTAAAATAATGGTAATATACATGATTGCTGATTATAACAGTTTATAGTTTAATTAAAATTGAACATTTCCTGTATTTCTTCAGCATTTTGAGAAATGACATCATTGGGCTAAACACACCAAGTCGTATTGTGATTTCATGATAACGTTGAAATATATTCAAACACTCAAACAAACTCTCACACACTTAATAAAGTTATACATATACCCAAGTTATTCTCCGTCTAAACCAATGACATTATTTAAAGTCACATTATGCAAATTGACTAGTAGACAGTTATAACAGTGACTGACAAAATCATCTGAAAAAAATCATGGATAAAATATGAATCTGTTTTAATTAAAAAGACTGCATTACCATTATATAAATTGAACATAACAAGTAAAATCAATGAATATATATAGAAATTTCATTGGGTCACATGAGTTATTACGTTCAGTCGAAGTAAATTTTAAAACTGATAGGAATTATGGCAAAATGCTATATATACTTGGATGGGCATAATGTCACTTTAACAGAACAACTACCAATTACTTGATGTGAATATTCGAATTTTTCACGATAAGTTATTTCTGAAAAGCATGTTTTGTAAAATTTATTTCTCTTAATATACCACAATATAATATATATGCGTCTATAAATTTTAAATCCAGGCGTTATTCATACAGAATACATTTCTTTATATATTAAATATTTTTTACATCTAAATTATGTATGTTAATTCCATAACATGTTACTGTTATCAAACTTTTTCAAATAAATTACTCTGCAAACATTCATGAAATACATGAATGAACATTCACAAATCATTATCTATTGTTATTCATCAATGCTTATAAAGTGTCAATAAACTAAACGATCAGATGAGATTTATATGTCACAAATATATTGTAACTGTCTACCTAATTAAACATTACCTAATTGATTTTTGTCCGGAAGTTCTCTTTAATTGCTTGAACGAATACTGGAAAAATAGTTAGCTATGTGCTAATTACATTGACAATGTCGGTCTATTTTATTTTATTGACTTATTATCGATATAAGACTTTCAAGTGAAAATCAAATAATAAATAGAGTACTTCCGGGTGTCTATATAAATTTGATTAGATCTTTCAAGCAATTAAATAGTACCGGAAATAATTTTCAATGTTTTAGTAAATTTAATATCAATCTTGCACTTATAAAAGAGTCAATTCGTTTGTGCTTGGACATCATTACATTGTATCTTGACTTTAATTATTACTTAAAAATTTCAGACATATTTCACCACGATTTTTGTCCAGTTGAAAGAATAATATCACCAGGAAAACTCTCTTATTTTGGGGTAAAGAACTCGAGGTAAAAGCAACTGCTGAATTAATTTCTATATTACATCCTTTCTTATGATCTATTTTCATAAACATGTATTTATCTGTACCAACAAGAAATGGAAGATAAAAATGGAACTGAAAGATACATGTTTGAACAGATAGGATATTCATCATATCAATTATTTACGATATTATGAAGTATGATTTATGCATATATAAAACTATAAGGTTTGAATAGATGAAAACTGTTCAGTAAAGACTATACGTATTTAAAATTAATATTGCAAAGCTTCGATGCAAGATGAAATTATGTCTTTAATTTTTGTTTGTTTTACTTTTTAGACATCAAGAAACCCAGTGGCAAAATTCGCACGAATACATAACACGTACAAGTTTTAGATTGTCATATCTGTATAAACAATACTACGAATAGAAGTTAAATAAAAGGAACCTTATTGAGAGGACATATTTGTGACCAAAATTAGTATACTGGTTAACAATTGACAATGCACACTGGAGAAGAATATAGATGTGGAGTCTGTGAAGGATCATTTGCTAATGAACAAACTCTTAAAAAACATATGATATTACACACCAGAGATACAAGTTTTCAATGCGAAATCTGTGAAAAATCATTTTCTCATCAACGTTATTTGAAAGAGCATTTAACAATACACACAGGAGAAAAACAATATGAATGCAAAATATGTGACAAATCATTTCCTCGAAATAAATATCTTAAACGACATATGAGAATTCATACAGGAGAGAAAAATCATCAATGCAAAATCTGCGATAAGTCATTTTCTATAAAAAGTACTTTTGACAGACATATGAGAGCACATACGGGCGAGAAGAAATACCGATGTAAAATATGTGACAAATCATTTGCTGATAACCATACTTTCCAAGGACATATGACGATACACACAGGCTTAGGGAAATATAAATGTGAAATATGTGAAAAATCCTATCCACATTCTACTTCTCTTAAATTACATATGGCGATACACACTGGACAGAAATTTCAATGTGAAATATGTGACAAAACATTTAATCAAAACAGTAATCTTAAAACGCATATGATTACACATACCGGAGAAAAGAAATATAAATGTGATACTTGTGAAAAATCGTTTTCTCATAAAACTATCCTTAAATCACATATGATTACACATACTGGAGAAAAGGCACAGAGCATTTGCTTATAAAGGTTCTCTTGAAATACACGTGAGGACACATACTGGAGAGAAGAGATATCAATGCAACATGTGTGAAAAGTCATTTAATATAAGTTGTAATCTTAAAAGGCATATGCTACTACACACAGGAGCGAAGAAATACAAATGCGAAATATGTGACAAAGCATTTGCTGAAAAACGATATCTTAGTAGACATATGAACATGCATTCAGAAGAATGTAAAAATGTGTGTGAAATCTGTGACAGACGGTTTACTCAAAAAAGCTATCTTGTTGCACATATGTCAATACATACAGGAGAGAAGGAATACAAATGCCAAATATGTGATAAGCTTTTTGCTCGTCACAATTATCTTAAAGTTCATATGCTGATACATTCAGAAGAGAAGAAACATCTATGCGAAATCTGTGACAGACAATTTACTCGAAAAAGTAAACTTACAAAACATATAAAAATACACACAAAAGAGAAGAAATAATTAATGATGGGATATCATAGTTTCTTGACTATTTAAAAATGTTACTACCTACAATGTACTACATGTATTTGTTAGATCATTTTCTCAATAACGATATCTTCATGATATAATTTTGACAACATTACACTGTATAAACTGTGAATAAATAATTTTGAAACTATCATGCCTGTGTCAGTCTCTTTTAACTCCAATATGGAGTGGCTTATGAAAGAAGACTGCTGAAATAATGTGTAGCGTTTATTACAAAATGACAAAGAAGCTTGATGGCAAAGAACAAATTGTATACTAATTTGATTAAGTAAACTAATAAAAGTTATATTAGAAATAAAAATTATGTTTATAAAACTCAGACGATGATGATTATAATGATATATGAAAAATGACATGTATTATTACGAAACGAAAAAGGGGTTTGGTGGTAAAGGCCAAGTTTTCTTAATTATCCAATTTGTACAAATTTGATTTTTAAACTTCTTAAGTTCATGTATTAAGTTCATGTAAAACATGAACATGTTTATGTTTATAATCAGATGATGATGATGATGATGATCAAGACATATGGTATATAATAAAAATGGTTATAACATTAAAAAGTAAAAATCAAGTTAATGTTTTATGGTTTAAACATAAATTTAATTGTTGAATGGACAATTTATCTGACACTTCCAGATTAATTTAATAGAGAGATGATCGTGTTGACTTTACAAAAATAATTACGACGCACAAACATAGCTGAATGCAGCAAATGCAGAAATGTAAATTTAATTATTCTTGCGACGGATATAGTGACTGTTGATGAGATATGGACCAGCCTATACTTACCTGAAATGAAATCACAGTCATGTATGTGGAAAACCAGTGATCACCTTCACCTAAGAAGTTTAAAGTCAGCCCATCTGCAAAGAAAAAAAGATGTTCATCGTCTTCTTTTGCGTCGACGGCGTGATACTGAGCCATGCGGTGCCCCTGGGTCAGACGGTAACGGCGAAGTTTTATTTTAAGTTTAATAAAAATTATAAGATTTCTTATGCAATATTCATTCTAAAGTCAATACATTACCTAAAAGTTATTTATATTTGTGTAAGTAGTTATGAAATAAATCATTATAACAGTTTATCATGATTATGATATTATTATTCAAGAGTATAATTATAAAGTCCTACCAGCCGTATGCGCTGATTTATTTCTTTTAATTCGAAGAAGATGTACTTTAAAACATTTGTCGGGTCTTTTCCTGTGCGAAGTGGTCATCCCCCTCCCATGATGCATAATTCAGCATTTTTTTTGCATTATTTCAACATGAACTGCGTTACAGAATGAACAGTACTGTAATTATTATAGCCTGATACCTATACTAATTAACAGAGTTATTTCCCTTTATTTTACAAACTCTTTTACAGCAGCCTGATTATAGAGGTAGAGATACATGTATTGCGATTTGTTTAAGTTTTATGTATTTAAAAGACAAAACTTAAGTGAATAAGTATAGATATGATCATAGTTTATCTAGGTAAAGTACTATTTAGACGTTTGTTAAGTAATAATGATTCTTATAATTATTATAATTATTTTGGAATAATAGATCTACTCAAAACTACCAGATTTTAAACATGAAGAGGTTATAAAAAATGGACTGTAAATTAGTTTTTGACACATAATACAAGATGTAAGGCAAGTTTAATAATTACACTTTAATTAAAACCTAAATCTCACTTTATAAAGATGAAAATTACCACTTTTGATGATTGTTTCTGATTGTATATAGTATATATAATATACAAAAGTTTTCCGACGAACTCCGTGATTGTTATCACAAGAACTCCCGACAAGTTATCATAAGAATTCAAGTTCCTACAGTGTGGTTCTGTGCATTCTGACTTTTGTGTTCGGTGTTCTTATCCGAAGTTTTTGACGTAAAGGACCGAAAAGATGCGATTGTTTGAATCGTCGTGTGTTGACCCACACACACGACGTTTTGTATAGCCCGATTAAATCATCGTACACTTATAATATATTCTAATATATATTCATATTATGCATGCCAAAATATTTGTAAACAAAACAAACACATTTCATTATAATGTGTGCACTAATTATATAAGATATATAGATAATAAATGTACAGGTTCAACTTTCAATTGATACGTTATTAATATATATTAAATAATCACCTGTTTTGATGGGTGTTATTTCTTTATGTTTTCATTTATTTTTATGAAGTGTAATACTTACAAATGTATACGTTAAATTATATTGGTGATAATGCTTATTTTCTGTAAACACATAGTTGAAAGTACATTTATATACATCTTTGTTGCACTTACAAGGATGGAGATTACCATATTTTATATCCTTTTATACACCTGTCCTTCTAACCTTTATAAAAAGACTTTTTCAGCCTTTACTTGTCACTCACGCTGCTTACAGGCTGACACTCATTTTTCTTAAAACATTAATACCATTTTTTTCACTGAAGTATAAATTTAACCTAATTCAGATGTTAATCACCACCTCCGTGTTCGAGGGTGAGAGTCGATGACTTCTTTATCCAGTTACTTCTCTGGCGTGGGTTCCATCCCAGGGGAGAATGAAGGTGGTCTAATTCTGGTGTAACTCTCCAGGAACGATGGTAAGGAAAACTACCTGCCTATATGACTGAAATACTGTTGGAAAAAGGCGTAAAATGAAACACACAAACAAACAAACAAACAAACAAACAGATGTTAATCAGGGGAAATGCATATTAATTAGTCATGTCGGGTTATTCATAAATAAATTTAAATAAAAGTGATTTGCCGTACGCAGATTGCACATGCGCTAAAAATACTACTTCCATTCGATTTTTACATAGCAACGGACCGCATTCGTTCAAATGGACCATACTGCAGTTGGCATTAATTAAAATTCAAGCAGAATTACACTACAGTATATGTACATGTATGTTTCTTCAGATCACTACAAAAATATGAATAACACTGAGTTACATTAACTTAAATAGAAATATTCACCACTATAAGAAGCCGTGTCGTGCGCATGAACTAGGCATCAATATCAAAGGTCAAGGTCACACTTAGAAGTCATTAGAAAATTATTGTCCGGATCAAAACTTCTACATGTATAAAGAGATTTCAATATAACTTGCCACAAATATTCACTATTGTGAGGCGGAGTGTTGCGTGCAAAATTTATGTCCCTGCGACCAAGGTCAAGGTCACACATAGAGGTCAAAGTTCAGATAAAAATATGAAAATGTGTATTGGGACCATTTAGTCATCATTTATTGAGAAACACAAATGGCCATTATCATGGATACTGGTATCAAACATGTAATTAAGATTAACATATGTAGGTCAAGGTTACTGAAGATGATTTTGAAGGTCACTTAAGATGATAAAATATAGAAATTTTGTCCAGAACATACCGCTTCACATACAAAGGGATTCTAATGAAACATCATAGAAATGTTCACCTTTATGAGAAGCCGTAACTGTGCATGAACCAGGTCTCTAGGTCAAAGGTCAAGGTGACACTTAGAGGTAATTGAAAAACGTTTGTCTGTAGCAAAACTTTTACATGCATTGAGGGATTTCAATATAACTTGGCACAAATGTTCACTATAGAGAGGCGGAGTGTCTCGCACTAAATTTAGGTGCCTGCGGCTTAGGTCAAGGTCATACATAAGGGTCAAAGTTCAGATAGAAAGTCACTAGAGATGATAATATATCAAGATATTTCCAGATATTGCCCAGAGCATATCGCCTAAATGCATATCTGTAATGCCCACATCTCTCTCAAAATCTTCTGTGACGGGCGAATATTGCAACAATGTTGCCATTGTTTATAAATTGAACATCACAAGTAAGGCCACGTGAGTTATTAATCGTTCAGTCGAAGAAAATTTAAAACTGAAACGAATTAAGGTAAAATGTAAAGTTACTTTGACTATATATACTTGGATGGGCATAATGTCACATAACATAACAGCTACCAAGTACTTGATGTGAATATACGAATTTTTCACGATAAGTTATTTCTGAAAAGCATGTTTTGTAAAATTTATTTCTCTTAATATACCACATGTTGGTATATTTAATTTGAATAATTAATTATCGACACAATACTTTCAAGTGAAAATCAAATAATAAATATAGTACTTCCGGGTGTCTATATGAATTTAATTAAATCTATTAATCAATTACAAAGAACCGCAGATGATTTTCAAGGTTTTAGTTTTGAACTTATAAAAGCGCCAATTCGTTTGTGCTTGGCCATCATTACATTGTATCTTGACTTAATTATTTGAACAATTCAGACATATTTCACCACGATTTATCTCCAGTTGAAAGAATTATATCTCCGGTACAACCATGTTATTTAGGGGTAAAGAAGTTGAGGTAAAAGCGACTGTTGAATTAAATGCTATATATCATCCTTTCTCATTATATTTATCTGTACATAAAAGAAAAAAGAAGGAAAATGGAACTGAAAGATACATGTTTGAACAGATAGGATCTTCATAATATAAATTATTTACAATATTATGAAGTAAGATTGATGCATATATTAAACTATGAGGTTTATTGAGTTTAAATAGTGAATACTGTTCCGTAGAGACTATATTTATTTATGTCTTATTTTTTTGTTTTACTATTTTTAGACATCAAGAAACACAGTGACAAAATTCGCGCGAATACAGAACATGTACAAGTTTTAGATTGTCATATCTGTATAAACAATACTACGAATAGAAGTTATTTGAAAGGAATCTTATTGAAAGGTCATTTTTGTGACCAAAATATGTATACTGGTTAAAATTTGACAATGCACAATGGAGAAGAATATAGATGTGGACCTTGTGAAAGATCATTTGCTAATGAACAAACTCTAAAAAAACACATGATAATACACACCAGAGATACAAGTTTTCAATGCGAAATCTGTGAAAAATCATTTTCTCATCAACATTATTTGAAAGAGCATTTAACAATACACACAGGAGAAAAAAATTATGAATGCAAAATATGTAGCAAATTATTTCCTCGAAATAAATATCTTAAACGACATATGAGAATTCATACAGGAGAGAAAAATCATCAATGCAAAATCTGCGATAAGTCATTTTCTCTAAAAAGTACTTTTGACAGACATATGAGAGCTCACACGGGAGAGAAAAAGTACCGATGTAAAATATGTGACAAATCATTTGCTGATAACCATACTTTTCAAGGACATATGACGATACACACAGGCTTAGAGAAATATAAATGTGAAATATGTGAAAAATCCTATCCACATTCTACTTCTCTTAAATTACATATGGCGATACACACTGGAGAGAAATTTCAATGTGAAATATGTGACAAAACATTTACTCAAAACAGTAATCTTAAAAGGCATTTGATTACACACACAGGAGAAAAGAAATTTAAATGTGATACTTGTGACCGTTCGTTTTCTCATAAATCTTTACTTATATCACATATGATTATTCATACTGGAGAAAAGGAATATAAATGTGGAATCTGTGACAAATTATTTCTTCTAAAACGTTCTCTTGAAATTCACGTGAGGACACATACTGGGGAGAAGAAATATCAATGCAGCATGTGTGAAAGGTCATTTAATGCAAACAGTAATCTTAAAACACATATGTCATTACACACAGGAGAGAAGAAATACAAATGTGAAATATGTGACAAAGCATTCGCTCAAAAACGTTATCTTAGTAGACATATGAACATGCATTCAGAAGAATGTAAAAATGTGTGCGAAATCTGTGATAGACCGTTTACTCAAAAAAGTTATCTTGTCGCACATATGGCAATACATACAGGAGAGAAGGAATACAAATGCCAAAAATGTGATAAGCTTTTTGCTCGACATAATTATCTTAAAGATCATATGCTGATACATTCGAAAGAGAAGAAATATCAATGCGAATTATGTGACAGCCAATTTGCAACAAAAAGTAGACTTACAAAACATATTAAAATACACACAAGTGAGAAGAATTAATGATGGGATATCAGTGTTTCATGTCTATTAAAATGTAAATACGTTCTCTTTGTAAGACCTTTTTCTCAATAACGATATTTTCATGATATATGACAACTTTAAATTGTAACATTACATTGTATAAACTGAGAAAAAAGTTTTCAAACAGTATCTTTGTAAGTCTCTTTTAACTCCAGTAGGACGTGGCTAGTGTCTTTATTTATGACTCATGAAAGAAGACTAGTGAAATAAATTGTTACGAAACCTCGAAGGAGTTAGGTGGTCAAGGCCACGCGTTGTTAATATGAAATATATACAAATTTTATTATGTAAACTTCTAAAGTTATAGTAAAAATGAAAATGGTTTTGTTTATGATACTATGATGGTGATGATGACGATGATATTGATAATGATGATGATGATGTATGAAAGAAGACTTGTAAAATTAATTATGTTTATTACGGTAGGACACATGTATGGTGGTCAGAACCAGGTTCTGTTAGTAATGCATTATGTACAAATTTGATAAATAAATTCCTCAAGTAAGAGTAAAATGAAAATTATTATGGTTATTCAATAATAACTTTATAGCACGATGATGATGATGATGATGATGATGTATGAAAGAAGACTGGTATAATTATGTGTAGCATGTATTGCGAAAGGACAACAGAGATTGGATGTCAAGGTCACGTTCCTTTTAGTAATCCAGTATGTAAAAATTTGATTAATAAATTACTAAAGTTATAGTAAAAATGAAAATTATTATGTTATTAACTTAACATATGATGATGACGAAATCAGTTTCCTTGATATAAATGTACATGTATAATTATCATTGTTACAAATAAACATTTGTTATGAAAAGTAAAAATCAAGCTTTTTTTTCATGGTTTAAACATAAATTCGAAATTAATGTTGAATCATCAAGATTATTATTTCTCTATGTGACATTACCTGCTTTAGCCAATAAAGGGATAATTGTGCTGCATGCACATTACAAAAAACGACACACAGTCATAAGCAAACATAATGTCAGTGGTTTTATCCATGTGCTCGCTAACGCACGAAGGGGCACAGAGATCTTCCTCCACCAGTAAAGCTGTAAAGTCGCCATACATATGACCTATACTGTGTTGGTGCGACGTAAAGGCTTTATGAACTGAATTATTTTATCAGCTTATTTGAGGAGTCGTATATTCCAGACTGTAAAGATCTCACAGGCACTGGTTATTCAGAGAAATATAGATAAAATGATATATATTTAAATCATTATAAACTTAAACTTAATAGAACATCAATATTTTTTCTGACGACATGGCATCTGAGACCATAAATCTGTTAAATTTATAGCTCCAAATGATGAACATATTTTGATTGTTGATGTCATTCTAAAGAAGTTGCTGAATGGCTTTTCTGGTACAGAATGCTGAATTCATACATGCTTTACGTGAGGAACTGATAATTTTTTTTTTCATTAAAATTATGTACATAATATGGCCGAACATGGCCTGGATGAGATCAGTGTCGAATCTCAGGTCAATATAAATTTTATGTTGAGTTTTGACCAATCAAATGTCTGAGATTACAGGAAAATTCTTGATACCATTTATCCCTGTTCTGGTGATTTTGAGAATGATATGCACTATAATTATGTATAATGACTTTGGAAAGTGTAGGTGGTTAAGTGCTATACAGTTTATCTAGCTACTTTAGTTTTGTAAATATGTACAGAATGTGTTTATAACCTTTTTTGGTAGGTAAAATACCAGGCTGTACTCTGACGAGCCAAATAGTCCTTATCCTTCAAAGAGGTTTCATGCCTTTCCGCATTATCGGATGTAATGTCATGCTATTTGCGAAAGAATAAAGCTTCTTCTTCTTCTTCTTTTGTCTTCTCCTTCTTCTCCTTCTTTTTCTATAACTTTGTCACTTTGAATTGCAATTAGAGCATCTCTGCTATTATCATTAAGTTTCGTAAAGGTCATCGGATAAACGATGGTTCCTAACGAATATATCGATATTTTTGTTAACTTCACACGACAGTTAGTTGTGATGTATAGGTAAAGATACCACCACATTATGAAGATACACATTTATTTAATTGAATTTACTTGCCAGAATTAATTTGATATCGTTTTACTACATCTGGTTTTAGGATACCTTTTAACTAGTTTTTTTATACATTTTTTTTTATCTCATTTCATTATTTGGCAATTTTGAAATTAAAAAAAAACAATGGCTGAAGAAGAATTCGAACCTACAAAGTTTACTTCTTTATTCTTCAAATGAAAGACGAAAGACCTTTACTGACTTCGCTGACTTAAAGGATTCTTAATAAACTGGCTATATACATGTACATTCATTACGATTTACAAGTAGATTGTAACATTTACGGAATATACCGAATATAGGGTCAAATACAAGAGTGGCAGGTAAATATTGTTGGGCAATACCACATGGTTTTAGATGTTAACAAAAACTGAAGGTGTAATCTTTGATAATGTATAACAAATGTATATATTTTACAAAGGAAAATAATGCCTACTAGTATTTCGGTAAAATTTTGATTGAGCACATGTCTAACAATTATAATAAATTTAAAAATGCTCAATGATGTACATTTATGCCCAAATCCGATTAAATGTCAGCAGGTAGACGTTGTGTATTCTCGGCTTCTTCATCTACAATAATATGTATGTTATTAATGTTATAGCTATAACTTTTACCCGATATTTTGGAATAAATTAAGTCTTCAACTCATTGTACTAAATTACTAAACTCATTTCATTAAATTGATATTTGTTTACATGTTTAGTTCCTTAGCGTAGTTCAGACCGAAACACTGTTTCCGTTCTGTGTATTCTTACTTATCCGAAGTTTGACGGAAAAGGCCGAGAAGGTGCGATTGTTTGAATTGTCCTGTGTCGACCCATACACACGACATTTTGAATATCACGATAAAAAACATCATACACATAAAATGTATCTAAATATTTATTTATATTATGCATGTCAAAAACACATGTCATGATAATGTGTGTATATAAATTAAATACATAGATAAATTTACACGTGCAACTTTTAAAACATTAAATAACACCTATTTTGAAGTGTGTTTTTTTTCCTTTACATTTTCATTTACTATTTATTCAGCATGATAATTAAATTATAAATTATATCAATGATACTGATTATAATCTAAATTTATACCGTTAAAGGGATAATCAGGAAAATTAATGACAAATTAAAATTCTGATTTGTACTCAAATCACGCTATAATGACATTTGTTAAAGTCCCAGCACGAATTTCTGTATAAATTCTACATATTTTGGGTTTGGAGTGTAAATATATATCTATATACGTTTGTTGAACGAAATTAGGCACCAACAGAATCAACCTAGTCATTTGAATTGAAAAAAACCCTGGAAGTTTCAATAACACATATTGTGTATACTGTATGATTGAAACAAACCTAAATTATTCATTTGACATGTTCTTTAACGTTTCCAGAGTTCACTGTGACAACTATAGTTAAATATTAACGCCCTTACCTGACCCACGTGGGTCAAGTTAGGAAACCACCAATTTACTCTTTATAAGGAGATAAGTTTTGTTCCTGTGACTGCCTAGTGTATTCATTTGTAGGACATTTACAGATAAATGAATGAAAGATTCAATGGAGAAATTCTGCCCGTGTCTCCCTTTAAAATGATATTTTGCAATCTTTATGAACTTACAAAGGTGTATAAAATACCATAACATATCATTTTTTTCGCATCTGTTCTTCAAACCACTGTTTGAAATTATAATCAAACACAAAATAAAAGAAACTTTTCACCTTTTACTTATCCTTGTGCTCATTGAAACATTATTTACCTAATTTTTTACCTATTGTCATACTTATACATAAATATATATGACTTAAACAATTACAAATGTAACAGCTAAAGAAGTCATGCCGGCTATTCATCAACAAATTACACTTTACGTTTACATCGGCAATTTATCAAAACAGTTTTGTATTTCTTCCCAATCAAAAGTGACATTTTTTGCCTTAAAAATAGCGTCCAGTAGTTTACCAGCTGTGGGTGTGTCCAGATTTTTTGGTTGTTGGGTTTGGTGGATCCAGTGCTTTAGTGCCTCATAAATACTTCGTGATACTTCGCGAGGATTTTCGGACATTTTCTGGTCCAGAAGCGCTTGCTGAACAAATTAAAACTTTTATAGTTTTCACTTTTTAATAGTATTGTTTATCTTTCTTATAATTCTTAAAGTGAATAGGTATGTTATGAAAAGTATGCAATACCTTTAAGTACTGAAAAAATATACTATTCTCTTTACTTTTCTAATACCTCATTATTGCAGGTCTTACTATTTTGGTCAAATTCTGTAAAATCGCCCGAATGATATTATAAAAAACGCGTATTTATCATAAATAAGCACATTTGTCATTTAAAACATATGAAATATGTGCATGTACTTTTATCAATTTATCATTAATATACATCCTATCTAAGCTAACTTGAATTCGGTACTTGTATTTGTTTATCTGCGTTTTTTTTTTACTCTAAATCGTTTTTTTTTGTAATATTTGAACAATGTGACATACGTACGTATAAAAGCTTTTCCAAAGACTAATTCAGTTCCAAGACAGACATCATTTGCGAGAGAAATAAGCATGACTTGCATGCTATTACAAATGGCATACTAAATACCGTAGTAATTCCCTTATTATTTTAAAAATACTAAAAGCGTATTATTAATGAATACCGTAAGCCCGGGTCATGCATAAAACCCCAGCCTTCCAAATACTTGCTGACAAACTTGGTAAGGAAAGGCCGAGATTTTTTATCTGCCGTTTATAAAATCTACGACTTCTTTCCTTCGGGTACTTTTTTAAACCTGATTTTGAAAATGTAAAAAAACTTTAAAACTTTAAAAACAAAATTTGCTATTTTCTAAATTCCCAAAACATTTCAAACTGACGGACTGATTGACCGACTGACTGACTGAATGAATGAATAAATTAATGAATGAATGAAAATGCAAACCTAAGACGGTTTCTGTTGACTCCCTGTGGCATTCCGGAATCTATAAAAATAAATATTGTATGAATATTAATATAATTAAGATAATATTTAGAACTAAATAAACAAATTAAAGGAAGATACAGTATAAACAGTCATAACGGCTTGTTCGTTTTTGAGATAAAAACATCACATCAGTTTCACTTAAAAACATTTCAATCATTTTCAACTTATTTACAATT